ATATTAGAAGTTGTATTAGTAAGTCTACTATCATTATCTTAAGTTAACAATTTCATTTATTTTTGACTTTTAACTCTATATAAGGTAACATACAATCTATGCATGTATGAAAAACTAAACGTAATTATTTTGTTAAAAGGATTTAAAGATATTCTTGGAATGAATGTCCGGTTTTCCTTATTACTTTAGGATATTATTACTACTTTTGATGATACGTTTTCTCAAATATATCACCTATAGTCTAGTACCATTACATAACTCAATTTTTTTTATCAATGTTTTTCGATAACATAACGAGAACACCAACTTTTAATAGTAACTTATGATTTGTATAACTTAGAGTTTAAGACTACTAAGACCATTAGTTGAGTATAAAACTTGAATCATATTAATTGCGAACAGAACTGGGTTGAGAGAGATTATCTGCACCTATATATTCCTTTTTCATCTCCTAAAAACAATTATAATAAATGATTCTTAATTTCTTTAACAACTTTGTGTTCCATGTAATAGATGTAGAGATAAATGTTTCATAAACAGTAAAATAAAAACCTTATATTGGTTTGAGAGCATCCAAATGATTTAGAATAGTTGTTTTTTAATAGAAAATAATCTTTTTTATCACTAATATCAAAATTGAACGGTTCTATCTAACAATTAAAATTTTCTCAAATGTGTGGGATAACTTTGAGCACCAATTTTGATACACATTGGGTTGAATTTTTGTTCCATATTAACATAAATAATTAAAATTTTGTTAAGAAAACAAATTCGTGCATATTAAAACAATAAATTATTGAAAAACATAAATATACACTATAAATTTGTAATATACATTTTCATCCATAACTAAAAGTGATTAATTTCGAAGGTTTGAAGTTTATTTGATTTTAGGTTGCTATAAACGGAGTATATGAACCTTAGCCAGTCAACTTCCAACTCCCATTCTCTACATTCTAAGAGCGCCATCCAACCGAGACTGACCTTCAAAATAGTGGAAAAACGGCAAAAAACACTCCAATCGACCTCCAAATACACTGCTATTTTTGTGCTATTTTTGTGTTCAGTGACCGCCATATATATAGCGAACCAACACCAAATCCATTTTTGTATTATGATACTATTATTTTAGTTTGCATATTGGTTTTAAAGCTACCATAATTATCATAACTATCGACAACTATTTATTATAACTCATATAACAGAAAATATATTGTATTATATTTTATAATTGTTAATAATATTATAGAAATAAAAAGAACAAAGACAATACAAGTTCATTGTAATAAACTTAAAAATACATTTAAAATTCAAACATCAAAAATATTACAAAGATAATTAACAAACAAACAAAGAGAATCTAGAAAATGTTAATTGAATCATATAATAGAAATTATTATTTTATTATATTATTATTAAAATATGTTTTTAAGCTAAACTTTTAGTGTGTGATTAAAGTGAAACCTGTATTTTAATGTCAAAAAAGTCACTATTTTAATGTTTATTTTTTAGTGTTTTGCGGTTGAAATTGATCACTTTTCTAATACTCAATATCAGCCTCCCTTCTTTTCTCACGACCGATATGGGATATAGGGATGGTGTCGAACTCTATTTTACTTTTTTTTTTTTCCAGCTACAACTCCATTTAACTTGTTAAATAAACCCATCAAATGATTATTTTCATCACCATATATTAATTATTAGTTATCATTCATTATAAAATCAAATAAAGAATCTCTAAGATATTTAAAAATATATGACGAGAATTGATGATGTCGAATTTATTTTCAATCTTATTGATAAATAAAACAACTTTATATATTAACTAACCCACCTGCACCCAAAAAAGTGAAATTGAAACAGAAAGAAAAACCAAAACCAAAAACCTCAAATCCGAACAAAAAGTCTGTGAGACCAAGCTAGTCTAGAACAATCCCAAAAAAGATCGGACCCCCGGCACACTCCAATACTGTTTTTTTGCACCTAGGACCTCAACAAACTTCAACGGGCTTTAATTATTTGTTAGTTAAATTTGGGCAAATAATAAGAAGGCCTTCAATGGGGCCCAACGACAACTTGTTTCATTTGGAGTATAGGGCAATGAAGCAATCAAGCAACTGCTTCTGTTGATTCAACAACCGATAATTTAATCCAGAATGTTAATTTATAAGTTAGGTTTTAAGTTTATTTTTTGTAGATCAATTTGTAGAATTTGATTCTCCGATCCAGTTATCAGCGAACAAGTGCTCATTGTTTGATAGCTTCTTGATTGGCTTATGTTGTAACATAAAAAAAGTCAAGAAAAAAAATATGGGTAACGATAAATATGTTCTTGATCATGGGCAATAAATTAGGTGTTTTAGAACAATTTGGTAGGAACACCTTAATTTTACAATTCTACAATATTAACTGTAATATACTATTAAAAGCCTATTATACAATACATCAACAATATACAAAACAACAGCAGCAATAATCAAACCAACAAAAATACATTGTTAACTGCTCCATCATTGCACTAATGAGGAAGAAAAAGTATACATTCAAAGGTCGCAATAAACTAGCTAACAGAAGTACTTACTTGTATGTGACTATATATGTGTGAAGTTATCTTTGGGAATTGGGGAACATGATTTTTGCCTTGTGGGTAGAGGAAGGCATCAACTATACTATAGTAGTACCAACTGTATAAGTAAAGTATGGTTCTTTCTTGGTTTGTAAACTAGAAGTGGCCACCATGAACCACCACAAAGAACAACCTGAAGCCACCATTGACCTATCTGCTTTCATAGCACAAATCATGTCATCTGAGAGCAGACTGAGAGATCGTGGTAGTGCCGCCTTCCAACCACCATATCTCAGAAACCCAAATCTTGAAGGCACGAATGTTGGGGCCTTGATGATCATTCACCGTGGTGGTGGCTCAGGGTTGTTATCTGGTGAGGTGAATGATAGTTGTGGTGTTAATATCTATGTAAATAATAATATTCAAGGGTTGAATAATTCTATAATGATTGGAAGTCGGTTGCATATGGGTGATCCTGGAGTGTGGTTGACATTGAAAGATTCAAAGTTGAAGAGATGGTTTTCCAAGAAAACTGATACGATGTGTTTATCTATAGGATTTTACGTGCTATTTGTTCTTGTGATTGTTTTGGCCTTCGTTGTGATGTTCATGTAAGTTAAATTGTTTATTATTATTATTATTATTTTGTTTATGTATGCGGATTGTTATACATTTTTTTACCAATTTGTACAATCATGTTTCAATTTATGGTGGTATGTTAGAACATCCAAAAAAAAAAAAAAAAAAACAAATCTTTGTGATTTGATTTAGATTACAACAAAATCTTACAGAAACCAAACTTGTGTATGCTTGAGTCAGCTAATAGCCTAATACGCTTGTCTAAAGCTAATCCATGTGCGAAGAAACTATATAAAAAATCAAGAAATAAATCAACATTTATTATATGAAAAATCCAAAATCAAGATTTCTTGTTGGGTTCGTTTGATTTGGTGTCTCTAAGGATCTGTAGCCTTTTCACAGAGCTAAGAAACATACTGAAAAGAAATTACGAAAAACAGAGTGAATGTCAATCGTCAAAGAAAAATATTAAAACAAATTTTGTTCGTTTGTGCTGGAATCTGAGATTAAGAAAGCAGAAAGCTTACTGCCATGGAACGTCTCCAACAAGCATACAGTCGCCATCTTTGTCTTCATAAGTGAGCAGAAACTCTGATGTTCCATTGAATAATCTTGAGGATCCTACTGCAAAATAATAGAAGCTTCAAAAGATCAAATTTTGATAAAATATGAATGTGAATGTGGGTTATGATGAATAAAGCATAAACTCAACTTACAACTTCCATGGAACATGTCCTCCAAGGTCTGAGCTACTGTTTCATAGGAGATGTGAGCATTGAGATCAAGTTTTCTCCCGATTAGGATTCCATCAATGTTCACCTTTACAGATAGATAACCATTGATTATGTTGTTGTTTACTGGTCTTGAACTAAACTCGTTGTGTTCCGGCTTAATTCGGTTAGCCAATGTTGGATTCTGATGAGCTTTTCCTATCGGAGGCCATCCAACCACGCTTCAAGAACCCAAATCCCCATAAATCGATATGCTTTTTGCTAAAAGAAATAAACAATAGATTTAATTACCTGGTAGCATTGGGAGATGAAACAGAGTCAACAACAGCTCTCTTGGTACCAACAATGGAGGAATTAGAGATATTCACAGAGGAAGACGAAGAAGACGAACAAGAAGATAAACATTTATCACTCAAGATTCTAGAACCTTCTTCCTTCGTCTTCAATCCACCACCACTGATACTCAAGCCTAGCCCCAATTCAAGACCATCATTATCATCTTGGTGCGATGAACAAGATTCTAGAACCTTATTATTGTTGTTGTTCTCTTCGTCATTTGACATGGCCACGATTGATCCACCAGACGCCACTCCTTCTCTGCCACCACAACTGTCGGCACCAGGAATTCGACACAGTAAGCCAAGACTACAGTCCATTTGTCAAGAGCGTGGAAAATGAAGGAAGCTATTTGAAGGTGAAAAGGAGAAAGAAAACAGGTCCAAAGAAAGAAAGTTGAGGAAGATGTAGGTGTACTGGTGTAGGCGTGGGACCCGTGTGTCGGCTTCGTGCGCCTTAATTCATGATCGGTTTATAGGAGCAAGTCCCCATCACGCACAAACACACACTTCTTTGTTTCCATTTGAACCAGACACTCTGCCCCCGCCATGAAAGAAAGCCTTCCGGAAATTCCCTTTTTCATCAAAAGTACAACTATTCATGCAATGTATACATGAGTACATTTGCATGTGCATGTACATTATAATACAATATTGTACTGCTAGTCATTTCATTTAGGAAAGGCTCCTAAAATATTATTTGTTCTTGAACTCTACCGAGTTAAATGAAATAAAAATAATAAAAGTATTAGTTAAAAAGGGAGGACAAATCAATAAAAATAATCTAGACGTACTTTCACAAATGGTTTATATGGTTTTAGAAAGTGACACTTTCCGAACATCTTTCCAAAGTGTTAGATCAATGGTGTTTATGGTTAAAAACCAAGAATCATCAGTATTTTTGCTAACTTGGTTAAAAATAAGGGTTAAATATTTATTAAATGACCAATTTACTCATGTCATTTAATTTACATTTTATTGTATTTTACATTTAGCATTTTATTATATTGAAACTTTCAATCGTTACCCTTACACACCTTTCTCCGTCTCTATCCACCATATTTTCATCTTTACCTTCTACTTCTCTTGCATCCTCTTCTGTCTGTCCATCCCCATCGTCTTTATTTAAATACAAAGCAATTTCCACATCTATAATTGGGTAGAATTGTCAAAGTGCAAATCTTAATAAGAAAAAAAAGTACAACAGTAGAATTTTCTAACTAGAATGTCGTAATAAGAAAAAAGAAATAAAAGAATAATAATATAACGAAAAATACCTTTAGTCTCATTTTCTTCTCCGATAAAAGGAACATCAAAAGGCTTTGCAGAAGAATCATTGTCAAGTAGCTCCGAAATACTGAAACTTCCATTCTCTTTCTCTTTCTGTTTAGATCTGTATGTGAGATGGAGCTATCAAAATTATTATTATTATTGTTAATTACCACCGAAAAACTTCCGAACACTTTGTTCTCAGGCAGGAATGATCCGGATCCGGTAAGATGTTCACACATAACGGGCACACTCACCATGGCGGTGGTCTTAAAAGAAAAATTGGTTGGTTCAAGCTTCTCATCACGACCATCCTTCCTCTCCAATGATTCTTGATGTTGAACATCACAATCGGGCTCCAAATCCATCGCGTGCGAATCAAAATAATGGTCAAAGTGGGGGTAAAGGTGGTGGTCGGAACCACCGTAGTAGCAGAAGATGAGGACAGTCCGACAGAGGTCGTGGTCGGTCTCATGGTGCAACAGGTCCAACATCGTCTCAGTTTCAGTTCAGCGGGTTGGAAGGTTTCGTGCCTTGGTAGTCGTGGCTATGGATGTCAAAAACCCCCATGGTACCCCCATACCGTACGAGACTAAATTAAAAAAATGGGACCAGGAGCGGGGGTAGGGGTAGAATTAAACCCTGTTTATTTTCGGGACCGGGGTCGGGAGTCAGTATTTCCGTCCCGTACTCCCGCGGGGGTCCCAGTTGTACATTTATATAAAATACATATACAAAATAGATTTTCTAATTTTAGGTTTAGGTTAGGTTTCACTTTTCCGTTTCCAATTAATGGATATTGAAGATGTAGTGAATCGATTATATATTTTTGGATATGTAAATATTTTATAGTTGTAATATTGGAATTGTCGTATATATTTTTGGACATGTAAATATTTTAGGTTTAGGTTAGGTTTCACTTTTCCGTTTCCAATTAATGGATATTGAAGATGTAGTGAATCGATTATATATTTTTGGACATGTAAATATTTTATCGTTGTAATATTGGAATTGTCGTATTTTATACTTGTAAGATTGTTGGAATTGTCGTTTTGTAATGTTGGATTTTTAATTTTTTTTAGTTTATAATAGATTAGGTTTTAAGCTTTTAAAATTATTAAAAATAGTATTTTTAGCCTAAAACAAAGCAATTTTTTAGAAAAAGAAATCAAATTTTAAGCCTATAAACCGGGGGAACCGGGGCGGGACCGGGGGCGATGGAGGTAACCGAGGGCTATGTAAACGGGGGATCCGGGGGCGGGGGCAACAACTGATTTCGGGGGCGGAGGCGGGGACAACCATTTCCGCTCCCATTTGGTCCCGTTGACATCTTTAGTCGTGGCAGCCTCCTCAACAAGGTCTTCTTCCGATACCTCCAACTTCAACAAATACTGCCCCCTTGTGGGATCCTTCTATTGGCCTAAAAAATCAGCAACAACAAAAAGAGTGGCCCACTTCAACAACCCCATTTCCTCATATATGGGCTTCTACGACAACAACCCAATAACATGATTTTTTTAGCGTTGAACCTCCGCCCTATCAGCCCAATACATGACATGTTACTCAACATTTTAATTACTCGGATCAGCCCACTACTCTCCTTAAGGCATTTAGCACCATGAGACTTCAGGACCTGTGAACTGCAGACTGATATATGGACACCAGGGCTACCACTCACCTCCACGCTGACTCAAGTATACTCAATTCTTATAGCAATAAGTGCATTAGTTATAATTTATCTGTTTTAGTCGGAAATGGATCTCGTGTTCCGGTCACTAAAATTGGTCACTCTTCTATTTCCTATAATCCTTTTCATTCCCTAAATCCTAAAAATGTCCTTATTACCCCTCAGATTATTAAAAACATCATATATGTCTATCAATTTCCTCGTGATAAGAAATGCTCTATCGAATTTGGTTTGTCTGTGAAGGACTTCCTAACCAAACAAATCCTTCTTCGATGTGATAGCACAAGTGATCTATATTCGGTTACAAGTCGTACTCCTCAAGCTTTTGTCTTTAGTAGCTCTTCCTTGTGGCACCAAAGACTTAGTCATCCCGGTTAACCTGTTTTTCAACATTTAATTTCTCATATTTCTATTTCATGTAATAAAATGGACTCTCCCTTATTGTGTAATGCATGCCAACTTGGCAAACATGTGTGTTTATCTTTTGAGTTATCTAAAACTGATGTTTTGTTTCCATTTCAAGTTATTCATTCTAATGTATGGACTTCTCTTGTTCAAAGTCACAGTGGAATAATTTATTATGTTATTATCCTAGATCAATTTACTCATTTTGTGTAGGTATATCCTCTTAGAAATAAATCTGAAGTGTTCTCTAATTTCTCCATTTTCATGCTTACCTTGAAAACATATTTCTCACCAAAATTCAAACTTTCCAATATGACAATGGCAAAGAATATGAAACTCCAACTTCTATCAACTTTGTGCCACTCATGGACTCCATATGTGTTTCTCTTGTCACTATAACTCTCAACAAAACGGGAAATCCGAACGCATGCTTCGCATGCTTAACAACATTATACGTACTCTCCTGTTTCAAGC